ATATATATAACCAATATATTAATATATAAATTATAATAGCTAAGCAGAGTATATATGATGTAGTATATTACATGCTGTGAACACAATATATTCTCGTAACATTAGCAACAGCTGTCGTTTGTCATAACGCCACATTAATCCGTCAGCTCGTCCGGTCGTCTTGGAACTGGAAGAAAGGAGCAAATGGAATGAAGAACAAACGTGACGTGAGTAATTAGCAAAATTACGGAGTAGTGTCTATTGAAGAATTCTCATGGTGTTAAGAAATATATATCGGATGACTCGTGCGACGTCCTAGTAAAAGAACGCGACTACTATCGTGGAGGATGCGTGATGACAAAACCGAAAATAATGAAGGCGTTATCGAGGGGAAGTGAATCGCTCGTATCCGGAATGGGACTCCACAGAGGGGGATTCCAAAAGGGAGAAACGGAAAGGTGAACAAGTGCGTGTGCTGGTCACGCGCCCGCTTGCAGACCGGAAAATCGACGTTTATGCACGAGATGACCGGAAGAATGCGGTATGACAATCGTGCGTCGCTATATTCTTTACACTTCCGATCGGCACGGTCGATGCGACTTCAAACGATCTATGAAACAAAGCGAAGTCACTTTTTGGACATTCTTCTTCTCATCTTTTCAACGCGAAATTGGACAGCCACACAGTACAGTTTTTTTTCCACTATCACGATCACGGAAGCACGTATTCTCGATCAGCAAGCTTCCGATCGCGATTTCGTCTCTGTTTTTTTGAAGGGTTGTTGTGGAATTCTATGCAGCACGTTTTCATCCGTTTCCCTTGCGTTCACCCCTGCGAACGCACGGTTCTTTATTTACAACAGTATACAAAATCATGTCGTCACTCGATACAGCTGATCATCTTACGATTATCTACATCATGCACAATAAATTGTTTTATGAGTTATAATGATAAAAGGTTTTCAAAAATTCTGGTTCGAATACTACCTATGCTTCTTATTTCTATAGAAAATCTTTGGACGCAATTCTTCCACCACTTTCCTTTACAACGTTGCTCCTATTTCGAATCTTTGGCGATGATCGTTTAAAAATAGGGTATATTTTTTACATTAAGATCAATCATTTAGATAGCGCGACTTTAAACCATATAGATAAAATAATAATCTTGACTAGATATAATAATATTTGTAGATTTACAATGAACAATTCATCAGTGTCACAATTCGTCGAAGAATATCATTAATCTTAAACTCGGAACTTGTTGGTCTTAAAAAAATAAAAATTTCCACGAATAATACAATAACGCAACTATACAATAATTAGGGAAAGGTGCTGGACTTAGGACCTATTTTATTTTGGATTCATACCAATTTCAGCACTGGATTTTATCCAGTGATTTTTTCGCTTTGTTAATATGATAATTCGTTGTGTTTACCGCCAGAATTCTTATCTATGGAAATAAACACAATGAATTAGCAAAGCGAAAAAATCACTAGATAGCGCTGAAAGCGATATGGGTTCAAAATAAAATAGGTCCAAAGTATAGCGTCCTCCCCTATATTCATCAATTTTATTCTATATTTTCGGTAGATAAATTATTGAAGAACTGCGTTTCTCCTATTTATACACTTTACTGGAGAAATTACAAGGGAGTATGATATGGCATAACATAATGTATATATATATATTTTTTTTATAGATAAATCTAATATATCTGTAATGTTACAGACAGGCTTTTTTAAAGCTACTGCCAGACTTAATCTTTGGATCTTTAGCTGTTTCTCTGTCTTAAACTAAAAAAAAAAAATATATATATATATATAATATATATTATATATATATATATATATATTACAAAATACAGACATACATTCACCGTTGCAGCTGTAACACAGACTCGTACATAAAAATCTAGTTAACGAAATCCAACACACTTGAAGATCGATTGACTATTTTCGACGTCTTAATTTTACGCGATTTCACTTATGTTAGAAACATTTCAAATCAGATTATAAAAAATATATATTTCAGAAAACATACATATTATATATATTAAAATAATACACAATAAAAGAAACTATTTTCGGGTAAAGCATCCTTCACATGTTAACGATAAAAGTAGCAATTTGCAAAAGTATTCAACTTTAGTGAAAACGTACCATTTATCGAATACATAAAATACCATTAATTGTTCGAATTAAGTTACAGTAGCAGCGCTTTTTGAGCGCTGACAATACGATTCAGTCTTATTGTATCTTTACAAAAAATTGCCGCAGATAGCTCGTTCTGTCTTCCGATATTCATTAAAATATAGTTTGTGTGTGTTTTCTTTGCTACATTTTTAGTGCCATTCATAGACCATACAATTCGGTTCGGTTTCACTTAAAAGTATGAAAATTATAAAGAAATCAACAATTTCTGACTGTCTGAAAAAGATAAATCATATATATTAGAAGCCACTGTTGCATAAAAGAATTTATCTAAGATCAGATCAAGGGAACGGCACTAGATTAGAAAATACGAAGGATAAAATGTATAGTACTTGCGTTTTCCAGTTAGTTCCGTCTATCTCTTTCCATCGTGTCTCTGCAAAAGATCGCACAAGGCTGCTATGTAGCTTTGTGCCATCTGCAGGGTCTCGAACTTACTAAGTTTGTGATCGGTCCCGAGACTCGGTACGACCTCGCGCAATTTATCGAAGGCGTCGTTTAGACCGTTCATACGACGCCTCTCGCGTGCATTCGCGGCGAGGCGCCGGCGTTTCAGGACTGTCGGTGACGGCGGAACGTCTCGACATCTCCGTCTACCCTTTCGCGGACTCACCGGCGGTGTCGTTGGTATTTTCTGCAAATAATTCCCGACCATATCAAAAACGAATCATGCATCCGTTATGCATATGTTCACTAGTTGATTCCTTTTCGTGATTAACGACTAACTTGGCTAACGACTAACTGGAACTTTAGTCCCGAAAGATTTCCGACAATTAGAAATTATTAGTATTGCGTAAATATTCTATATTCAAAATAACGAATAGTAATATGCTCGAGAAGAGGATCTTAGAGCATGTATTTCAATAGAAATAATTGTTAGGCGTGTTGGACTAGAAATGTTTAATTTGCACGTAAATTTTTTGAAAAATACATCGATAGATGATTAGACAAACAATTGCAATTACTTGAGTCGAGATGGCAGGCTCCCAACAAGTGGCGCGCGGTTCAACGATCGTGAGGATCGGCTTGCTATTCTCTAGGGGCTGGTATCTCGGCTCCTGAGGAGGTGTCTCGTAGCAATAGGATGGTGGCTGATACTCCACAGAACTCTCCTCGTACAACGTCGATCGCGGCGACATTGTCTGCTCCATCGAATGAGGCGGCTCGTATCTATAAATAACGAGGACGGCGAACTTGGAAATAATCCTGTCAATAAAACGACGATGGTCCTGTTCCCGATTCGACTCGGCTATAATCTTTGGTCAGAATTGAGACAATCCCTGACTAGTGGTTAACCTGACAGTTTAATCATCGACCACGTATCGGCAGTAATATCTGTTCAATGGATAAGAATTACTACATTTCATCAACAATCGTGATTGGAAACAATAGCGATGCGCTCACAATAAGATAAATGTAAACTAAAGGCAAATCGACTGGGCGAGTTTACCTTTGCGGTGTAACAGGCGTCAGAACGCCATAGGGTCCTCTCTCGTATCCTTCCGGAGTTTTTGTATATTCGGACACCGCATCCTTGGCGTAATCCAGTGTCTCGGCATCTCTTCGCGACGTGAGCTCGCTCTCGTGCACGCAATTGTCTCGATATGTCATTCTGCTAGAGTCGTAATTCGGGGAGTTGTACGGTGACGGATACAAGGGGTCGTAATTTCTCGCCAGGTTCGGATATGCGGGTGTCAGCATCTCGGACTGCGTGTTCTGATAGCTGCAGTGATTCGACAATAGAGCCATTATCGAACGGGAGTAGTTATTTCATCGGCTGAATTACACCGAGAAGTCTACACTTCATCGGTCTTAGTGCGAAGTAATCCTGTCTCACAAGATCGGGAGACGAATTTCACAAGATTCGTCGGGAGAATTGTTTTTCTTCCGGCACATGAATGCAGTTTTTTTCACGACATCTCTGCTCTCTTCGTCGATCGAATTACCCCGATGTCACATTGAGGCTGCACGCCGGCACCTAGTGGCATTCAAGTTCGTGATCGCGATCGGTCAGTGACTTTCGCGGAGTATACACTGCGACAAGTAATTCTCGATGACTCTTACAGTATACGATCGTCGTCTCCGTCCTCTGCGACGGTCGCACGTTTGAGTATCGAACCACGGATCCAGGGTGATATCAAGAAGGAAATCCTTTGAAGAACATCACCTACTCGCGTTGATTTTGCTCTCTCACTGACAGTTTCCGTGCACTACGTCCCGTGTGTCTTACTCGCAATCAGGACAGGTGAGAAAGACACAGAGACTGCACTGTCGAGTACGGACAGGACACCAGAGTGGACAGCGCAGTCACCGATCCTCGCGGTATAAAGGTTCGAGTCTGAGTGCGGCGCGTGCCAGAACGTCCGTCAGCAGATCAACATATGGTTCCCACCTTGTTTTCTACCGATCCCTATGGGCGATACGTACACCTGGCAACTCATTCTGGTTCCTCCGGTACCTACCCCTCTCCGCTTCAGGTTCCCGGTCGTCCGCTCCGCAGGCACGCCCGCACCGCGAGCGCGTTCGCGACCCGCCGAAAAGCGATCGACGATCTGAAAAAAGATAACCGCGAATATTCTCCGCCAGAAAACTGAGGTCTCCGTATCGTTATCGGTAATTGTGGCCGAGGCGACGGCCGCGAGTGTCTTGCCGGGTACTGAGAGAGAGGGGTTAATCTCGTTGAAATTTTTGCTATCAAAAATTATTCGGCGCTAACCATATTTTTGTTTTGCTCTAACAAAAATTAGTAGTAGCAATACATTTGAGGTTATTATCATTAACGTTATGTTGGCGCTTATTACAAAAATCATTCGCTACGGACTGAAATTATTTCATTTGTGCACGAGTCACATATACAAGCGCTTTTTTCTCAATATATAAATGGCGCGAAAAGGTATAGGAAAGGTAGATGAAGGGATTGGTATGTAATGATTGAACTTCAAACTCGGAAAAGTCTATCGCGACTTTTGTATTCTGTCGAAGCCGCAAAATGGAATGAGTAGCATAACGTGTATGTATTATGGTACTTATATTGTGTATTCGAAATTTAGAATTTACGACAGTCCGACGAAGTTCTTCGTTCTCGTAAATCGCGTCGAAATTATTATAAGTTTTTAACGAAAATGAGTGATGGGTCCATAATAATATCGCGTCGATGCCGTCAAATTTTACAGTGCTATTCGATGGACATTGTTGTTCGGACGACTTGCGGCGCGGTCGACGTGCGGAAATTAATTTTCAATTTCCGATTTCCCGCCTTCCTTTCTTCTCCGCTGTCAGCGTTTGCGTCACGAAGACCGGCGGAACAACAGATGCTTTCACAATAGAAGCCGCGCCACGTATAATAACTATATATACCATATTATATCGCCGCTGTGTAGGTAGCGTGAAAAGGACAACAAGATGCGGGGAGGACGCAGAGGAGGGAATCGAGTATTACGGTCATCGTAAAAGCGGCCTGTCGTTGAGCCTAATTTAAAAAGAAGACGTGAGGTCAAAATTTACTTTTGCGCGACGAAAAGAGCAATATTTCTTCCAAAATACTTTACATGAATTAATGGTCATTAATAAAATTAATTGCATAAAAAATTAATAAAATATTAAAATTCTACTTTATTTCGATGTGTACGTTTCATTTACCGGAATATTTGAGATTAACGAAGATAATTTCGCGTGTAGAATTCGCGTCACTCTTAATTCTATATGATTATCGATAATACGTCATTGAGATATTCGATATGCATTTCCGTATGTAATCGCAACTTCACATGCCTCTATGCATAAATGATTTTCAATTGTCCCTCTCGTGTCGTATATCATTGTGCATTATGCGTGTGTATACACTGCGCACGTTCTGCGCGTTCGCAAAATCTGCGATGAAGAACGATCGTATCGATCGAACGCGGACGTACTGCGAAAGAATCACACGAGATGATGCGCGAATACCGTCAGAAAGTGGATAGAACAGCGGTAGGATACAACGGTCGCGCGCTACCACCACTATAGACCATTCGCCTTGAGACAATTAGCGATATCCATCTCCTACGGGGATCCACCCCTCCGGGCGAAACGGAAGGGACCCAGACTCGGCGCGTGGCGTATGTCTACCAGCGAGCATAACGAGAGGAGTCGCAAGGTGTTGTTGCCCCGCCGGCCGAGGGCGGGAGATCCCAGGATAAAGATGTGTGCGGCGCCGGAAGGAAACTCTCGAAGGGGCATCCGAAATCCCCGTATTCGGTACCGTGTGAGATTAGAGCGCATCGGCGCTGACGAGATTAAGATTCGAGCTGTGACATATAATAAGGTTTTTTTTGGCTTAAAAGTTCTTTCAAATATTACCGTCGTAGACAGTAAAGTATTCTCCTGCATATTTTTCTTCTTTATATTTCTTTTATATTTCAGCAATTAACAGTAACGTAACGTTATGATTTCCTACTTAACAAATGTAACTGTTACATAACGTGCACGTTATATTGTATTTACATTGTTGAGTGAGAAATTATAACAATAATGCCGTGTTATTATTAGTTGGTCGTTGCATTTAATTTGAATAGTGTTTAAACGACGTTAAATATTCATAATAATTACGAAAGAGAAAAGATGAGAATTGAGAAGGTTTACAATAAGAGATTTACAAGAAAGAGAATGTAAGGAAAAGTATCGGAATGCAGGATCGATATTGTGTTGGAGATTTTAGTGAAACATTGAAACTCGAGAGAAAGTTCGGCATCCCCTATTAAAGTTGCGTGTTGGTGTTCGTTGACTTCAGTACGTTACAAATGAAATTAAGAGAGAATGGCGTTGGACGAAAGTTAGTTAGTTCCGTCTTGCTCGTGCAGCGATACGTTGACGCCGATAAAGAATTTGTAATAAGCTTCCAGCAGAGGAATCGCGATGCACGGCTCGGCGTAAGGTGTTGGTGACTGAAGGCGGGAGATTTCACGATAAGTAGGGAAGGCAATGTGAGTGCACCGGAGAGGACGGTTGGGTAAGCAAAATGGATTAATCGGTACTACCAAGAGGACATTTAAACGCCCAATGTCTGACGTAAATAACCTGTGACTCGTGGACATACCTATATAAATTTACCGAATTATTCGTATATAAATCAATATATCTCTGATGAACAAATAATAATTATCTGTTAAAATACACATTGGTATTCATAGATAGGAGGAATACTTATTCGGCTCTGAGCAGATTCGTCCGTGGCCACGCGATTGAAAGCACTATCGTACTATATTCATTAATCATTATCATTCAATATATATTCATATATTCATTATCATTCTTTTCGTTAGTCTGTACTTAATTTCACATTCAATTAGAGACTATCCGCGGAGCGGGGTGTATATGACGAGCATATGATAGATCGACGTTGCTGTTTTTGGTTTCGACACTTCGCTTCTACCGAAAACGAATTGTTTCCGAGATCCATATGGCATCGTGAACATGTGGCGGAATTCCAAACGTATCCTGGTAGATTTTCACGAAATAGTTCATATGCGTTCTATCACCGAGGACTTTTATTCACCCCATATTGAAGACGTTCTTGCTCGGTACCGCGGCGATGCACTATCCATTCTGTATTTTAATGAAACGAGTCGCCTCAACTTGAGGCTCCTGATTACATGGAACCTGCAATTCTGCGTTGCACCAACTGTTGCATACTCAACAGGTACGCTGAATGTATACAATCGCGTAACGGACTGACGTGTAAAGTCATAAATCACTTCTAATTCTCTTTTTAATTTATCTTTCCACGAAATATTTTATCTTCTAATCCAATATATAAGATGAATGTCCCAATTAGTGACAAAGTAACCTCATTGTGAAAATGAATTAATAAATTGTTATAATACATGTATTAAGTACATAATATTTATTTTGTACGAAAGTTTTAACACATTTGGGGTTCTAATTGTATCAGATATTTTTAAATTTCTGATATAATCTTAATTAATTTATAACATGTCCTCGAATGTGACAGAAATACAATTTAGTGATACATAACTTTGATTTTGTCTCAATTTGAATTTGTAACACATGTATGCCTATATTACCAACACCTGTGACGGACGGATATACGGATCTTATTATCGAAGCAAAAATCATTATTTGAATGTCATAAATTGGGAGAGAATCATGAACGTCCGTATTACTAATTTAAATAGACATGACAATTTATTATAGGCTAAGAATTCAAATAATATTTGCATTATTTATTATTTGCATTATTTTGTTAAATTTCGGAGGAGTAAGATAGGAGTAAGATTTGATACTAATCTTTAACCCTTTGAGTACTCAATTATTTTAAGATTTTTATGCCCATGGAACGGATTTAATTTGTCGCTATATGGATTAATATGTAAAAGTAATACATTTTATGCCAAAGTAAGCAGATGACGAGTCTCACTCGTCTAATGTACCGAAAGGGTTAATTTTATAAAGAATAAAATTTATAACTCACATTTTTTCTTTGGAAATAAGAACGTTTATATCATTTTGTATCTTATTTGTTACGTAGTCAGTGATAGAGATAAATAAATATTCCAATATAGATTAATAACATATGTATTAACTACAAGAAATATGTATTTTGTTACTTTTTTTGTTTCTTTAATTTTTTACCTTAAAAGAGCGACACTGCCGTTCAATGTTAGAATTTCGACGTCTCAACTTGTCGGTAAGAGTGAATGACACAATAACAACTCATCAATAATAGGTAAGAATGGATAACACAATAACAA